CTATTCACAACAAAGTATGACATACAATTAATGATAATTGTTAGCAGTATTATTATAAAAAATATTAACTGCATTTTATAATTAATAGCAACAACACCGAATAGAACGTTATAAACACAAACATTCCCAATAATTACTTACCTTGTACAACGACAACATAAATACATTACCTGTACTCAGTTCAAGTGAGATAACTTCACTGCATATTTAACCAGTTATTTGGTATAACTTCTATCATTTCTAAACAAAAAGTACACATGTAAATAATTTGAACAATGGAAACCAGCTTACCTTAGAACATAAAGTTCAGAATATAAATCACAGAGTTGATGGCGACAGTTCCAGTATTTATTCTTGAGCAGATGTGATACCAAAGGGTACTTACTTACTTACTTTGGAGATTTAACGTGCGCTTTCCGACTGATGCGTATTTCGCACACGGGCCCGGCCAGGCCATTTAATGTGTTTCTGAAAGGGGCGAAAGTGGTCAGTGCAACCCAAAAGGGGGCTTTAGGGGTTGCTTATATAGAATTTGGGAATTTTGAGATTTGGAATAGATGCCGATGGGGTTGGGGGGGGGGAGAACTAAGGGAGCTGGGTATGGTGGATGTTATTGTGTTTTTAGATGCGTTTTATTAGTTCCGTTTTGATTAAGAATACGCCTAAGGCCTTGAAGTTTTCTAGTTTATGTTGTTGGTTTAGTATTGCTTCTAGAGTGAGAGCCTTGTTTAGATTGAGGGTGGTTTGTAATGCGGTTTGATGTGTTAGGTAGTGTGTGCAGTGGATGAGTGCGTGTTCTGGGGTTTCTGGTTGTTTGCAGTGTGGGCAGTTACCAGTAGTGTGTTTTTTTTGTTTTATTTAGGTGGTTATTTAGGTTGGTGTGTCCTGTTTGGAGTTTAGTGATTACTCTGTCGATTTTTTTGGATGGATGGAGAATTTTTGGTTTGGTTAGTGGTTTGCTGAGCACTTTTTTGATTTGGCTTTTTGAGTTTAGATATAGGTTATGCCATTTTTGTGATTTTTTGCTTGTTTACACTTTTAATTTCTGATTTTGAGATGGGTAAGTTTAAGCTTATTTCTGGGATTTTGAGGGATAGTTTAGCTGCTTTATCGGCGTTTTCATTACCGTATATTCCTACGTGGGCGGGTATCCACAAGAAGGTTATTTGTTTGCCTGCCTTAGTTAGGTCGTTGGAGCTTTTAAGTATTTGATTTATTAATTTAGGTCGGTGTTTGGTATTTTTGTTTTGGAGGGCTTGCAGTCCAATTAGGGAGTCGGTAAGTATTTGGATTTTTTTTGTGTTACCAAAGGGGCATCTCCTTGGTTTTATATAGTTGAGAGGCCGAGGAGCTAGAACTGCGCCTTTACTGTTATTGGTCCAAAGTATGTATCGCCAATTTTGATTGGATAAGAATTTCTTACCTAAGGCTTGTAATGACTGACTGATTTCCCAAGTTTTACTCACCTACTGTTTGACATTAACGAGAAGGGGATTCCTTTCTAAAAACAATGCATTTGGTGTAATGTTTGCCTTGCGGTAATCCTTTGCCTAAGGGGGATAATTAGAGGTGACGGGTAGGTAGACACTGACAGTGATTGAGCTTCGCTCACTGGCAGACGTTGACGGGTATAGAATTAAAATAGCAGGGGATTACGTTTGGACAATGGGCATGTTGATTTTGTGCCTATGGGTATGAATTTGGACGGCTTATTGTTTATGTAAGTAGGGTGTAAAATGAAAAAGCCGGGATAACGTGTATCAAAGTAATATTAAGTTTATATAAAACATATGGAAAGTAAAATAATTTAAATGAAATAGAAGTAGAATAATAAAGGTAGCTAACAAGAATTTGGATATACAGGTATATAAGATTAAGTTGGGAATATTTTATTATAATATAAGCTGTATATTTGATACATTGTATTTAAAATAATGTAAGGAATTTTCAACGAATTGGGACAAATATGTACACGACAACAGTATCATGGTGGTGTTGAGAAAGGGGCTTGTTGGTCTTATGTTCACCTACTTGTAGTTTTCAGTTCAGATTGAAGAATGTAGCAACCAGATGGAATGCGCAGGTGACGTGAGCAGACTCGTCTTGCTCATTTTTTTCAGTCGGAGCTGTTAGTCCGTGTACTTTCATCTTGCCACCAAGTGGCGCTCTCCTATGTAAAACAATATAATATCTCTCTCTTCAGTGTATTTACTTTCCGTTTGTTTACTCATAAATTCCTCCTATTGTACAGGTGTTTTGTGGTCTTTTATTAGCTTTTCGTTAAAAGGAATGTGCTTCTGAGATTTGATTGGCTTTCACACCGTGAGTTGCATTCTGGTTTTCTGTGCAAAGCATATTTTGTGTTTGTACAGTCTCACGTCACACAGTCAGTACAACATTACTTAACAAATGGGACGGATGGGCGATATCTAAAGGTCGTGGTGGGTGTCCTGAAAAATAATAAGTTGTAAGTTAAAAAATTATTTGGCTCCTCCTTACAAAGAACAGAAATGTTCGTTTCGAAGTACTGACCGAAGGTATCAGAATTAATATAACTTTCTTGCGAAGCAGTCTAGAGGATGTAACTTTCTGCATTAAAGTTCTACTTCGGTGGACATATGGTTTCCAAACCCGGAAGTTGAGTAATTAAACCGGAAGTGCATATATCCTTTTCATAAAGGTGGAAACCTTTGTTTCATGGTTCACTTACAGGAGATAGGATATCATTAAATATGGAAGTTCTCATTAAAGTGCACTGGGACAAGTACTACCTCAGACCATGAGCTGTGTGTTGGCAGTTGAAGATCTTCCGGTTCTTGCATCATCTTCGAGGCTCTCTCTTCCCCTAGAGCACCACTCAACACCTCTTAGCACTGGCAAAAGAAAAAGTATCATGTTAGAAAGTTGATACCATGTCCTCATGGATGTCTGCAGCAGTTACCCCTTTAGCTTGCAGATGATTGTTGACAGCTTGTAAGCCAGTTTTGTCCACATTAATCTCCAGAGAATCTGTCACTGTTACATACTCAGGGGTTTTGATCTTTTAATGATGGTTCTGAAAACATCACTTCCTGGTCTGATCACGTCACTTCCGATTCCAATAACGTCACTTGTTGTTGTAATGTTGTTGACTGCGGCGTTAAACAACATTCATTCACTCATTACATGTCGCCATGGTACAGGTGTAACGTTGCTGACTGCGGTGTTAAACAACATTCACTCACTCATTACATGTCGTCATGGTACAGGCGGAACGTTGTTGACTGCGGAGTTAAACAACATTCACTCACTCATTACCTGTCGACATGGTACAGGTGGAACGTTGTTGACTGCGGCGTTAAACAACATTCACTCACTCATTTCATGTCGCCATGGTACATGCGGAACGTTGTTGACTGCGGAGTTAAACAACATTTGCTCACTCATTACATATCGCCATGGTACAGGCGGAACGTTGTTGACTGCGGAGTTAAACAACATTCACTCACTCATTGCATGTCGCCATGATACAGGCGGAACGTTGTTGACTGCGGCGTTAAACAACATTCACTCACTCATTACCTGTCGACATGGTACAGGTGTAACGTTGCTGACTGCGGTGTTAAACAACATTCACTCACTCATTACATGTCGTCATGGTACAGGCGGAACGTTGTTGACTGCGGAGTTAAACAACATTCACTCACTCATTACCTGTCGACATGGTACAGGCGGAACGTTGTTGACTGCGGCGTTAAACAACATTCACTCACTCATTTCATGTCGCCATGGTATATGCGGAACGTTGTTGACTGCGGAGTTAAACAACATTCACTCACTCATTACATGTCGCCATGGTACAGGCGGAACGTTGTTGACTGCGGAGTTAAACAACATTCACTCACTCATTGCATGTCGCCATGGTACAGGCGGAACGTTGTTGACTGCGGAGTTAAACAACATTCACTCACTCATTACATGTCGACATGGTACAGGCGGAACGTTGTTGCTGCGGAGTTAAACAACATTCACTCACTCATTACATGTCCCCATGGTACAGGCGGAACGTTGTTGACTGCGGCGTTAAACAACATTCACTCACTCATTACATGTCGCCATGGTACATGCGGAACGTTGTTGACTGCGGAGTTAAACAACATTCACTCACTCATTACATGTCGACATGGTACAGGCGGAACGTTGTTGACTGCGGAGTTAAACAACATTCACTCACTCATTGCATGTCGCCTTGGTACAGGCGGAACGTTGTTGACTGCGGAGTTAAACAACAGTCACTCACTCATTACATGTCGCCATGGTACAGGCGGAACGTTGTTGCTGCGGAGTTAAACAACATTCACACACTCATTACATGTCGCCATGGTACAGGCGGAACGTTGTTGACTGCGGCCTTAAACAATATTCACTCACTCATTACATGTCGACATGGTACAGGCGGAACGTTGTTGACTGCGGCGTTAAACAACATTCACTTACTCATTACATGTCGCCATGGTACAGGCGGAACGTTGTTGACTGCGGCGTTAAACAAAATTCACTCACTCATTACATATCGCCATGGTACAGGCGGAACGTTGTTGACTGCGGAGTTAAACAACATTCACTCACTCATTACATGTCGCCATGGTACAGGCGGAACGTTGTTGACTGCGGCGTTAAACAACATTCACTCACTCATTGCATGTCGCCATGATACAGGCGGAACGTTGTTGACTGCGGCGTTAAACAACATTCACTCACTCATTACCTGTCGACATGGTACAGGTGTAACGTTGCTGACTGCGGTGTTAAACAACATTCACTCACTCATTACATGTCGTCATGGTACAGGCGGAACGTTGTTGACTGCGGAGTTAAACAACATTCACTCACTCATTACCTGTCGACATGGTACAGGCGGAACGTTGTTGACTGCGGCGTTAAACAACATTCACTCACTCATTTCATGTCGCCATGGTATATGCGGAACGTTGTTGACTGCGGAGTTAAACAACATTCAC